CAACATTCCAAAGGTTTTATTCAGAGAAGCATGAGATGCATAACCAAGCTGCATGGATTATTTTTACGTCATAACAAATCTATGTAATACACCATTGTGGTCACCAGGGAACACATGGTCTCTCTCATAGTGACTAAAAGTTGTAAGAATGAGGTGTCACTAGATGTGAATTACAACAAATCTTACACTTACTTCAATTTCCTTAAATAACTCCAAATTTTTTATCTTAAATCATTATTTAACTACGTAAGTGTAATACTGTACCTCTTCACGTATTGTTCTTAGTCACTTAGTGTGACTAAGTGATTAAGTGCTCTTTATTTACATTGTATGAAGCAATTCGTGAAGTCTATTCAAAATAATTAATGGGGAACAACTTCAAGCAATTACCTTTCGTAGAGCTGCTGCTTTACTGGAACCGCCATCAGGTCATCTGCAGTTCCGCTCTGCAGAACCCTCAGCAGCGCGTCCGTTTCACCAATGCCGTAGTTCAGCTTTGCCTCAGTCAGTTCCACAGTAAGGGGATGCTGGTGCAGATCCAGGTGTACGCCAGACATGATCTGAGCGCGCTCTCTCTGAAGTCTCTCAATCTCTCTGCTTCTGCTGCCCCAAAGTTGGGATTTCCCTTCAATTTCCACTGTTTGTTGGCTTCCGGGCTTACTTTCTGCCTGGCTGTGCAGGTCAGTTGCACTGCCACTCAAGCTGAGTGATGAAGGTGGAGGACTGCCCTTAACACCACACCAGTTGCTAAACTTGTTGTGTACAGGTAAGTCACGAAGACTGTAGCTCCGAGGCCTGTAAGGCTTGGCTGAAGTAGTACTTTTCTTCAGAGGAATTTCAGTGTCACATTCGATTTCAGTGACAGAATTTGGGTTGTCATTTTGTAAGGAAATTTGTGCATCGCTCACATCAGAGAGAAGAGAACAACTGTTCTCATTTTTCCAGAAATCGTGTAATCGTAGAGAAGCTGCTCCTACTAGAGGTTCTGAGGACTCACTAACATTTGCCTGACTCGAACAAGTGGCACTACGCTTTGGATTAAAAAGTAAGTCAGAATCTGGAAGTGAGTGCTTGTGAATCAGAGCAGTATCAGAATTTCCAACATAATTCTCATGTCTGATTCCCCCAAGCACAGATCTTCCTCCCCCTGTGACATACATACAACGGAGTGAACGTGCCAGCGGACTGGGGTCTCTAACATCATCTGTTAAAAACTCAGTATGGCCAGAGACCTCTAATGTGCTGCTAGAGTGGTACAGTCGTTTTGCACAAATTGTAGTGTGTGTGCCAACAGTGAGTCTGTGCTGTTGTTCCACAGCTTTTGAGTCATCCTTTCCTAAAATCGTTTTGGACACTTTTTTATCTAAGCAACTTCCAGATATATTTCCTATGCCATTGCTGTCTCTAGAAATGCTGCATTCACTGTCTGTTTCAGTCTGTGAAAAATTGTCCACGTGAGGTTCCATGCTGGAATGTGGACCTGATCTTTTCTTTCTCTGACTGTGAATGGGGCTTGAAGCATCACTGGAAGATCCAAAGGGTTCCTTAATAGGGCAGAAAGGCTTACTAAAAGCGTTCTGGCTTTTAGGACTAGCACTAAGAGTAAGAATAGGGGAAGAGGCCCTGTCCACCAACAGAGTATTTTTGCAACGAAGTTTTCTTTCTGCTGGAACCTCTAGCTCATTGACACTTCTTTTACCCTGAGCATAAGATGATGGAGATTGAAAGCTGCTACTAGTAGGGCTGCTAACTACAGTGCATGAAGAATCATCTTGCCCTGAACTCACTGAAGAGGATGGAATGGATGAAACTTGGGCACTAGCAGGAGCAAAATTCTGCTGTGCATTTAACGATGGTTTTTGAAAATCTAAGGTGGAGGTGGAGGTTCTGTGTAAGAGAGGCAGGCACATAAAGGAATCTTCCAAAATGCTGTCAAGACTGTCATGGAAGTCAGCTTTGCCCAGATTTCTCATCTCTGTTCCTTCTTGTCCTTCTTCCAGAGAGAATGTTTTCTCCTTCCTTTTAGGAACCTTATCTGTTGCATCTGCACTGATTCCACTGAAATTGCAGTTTACTGCTTTAGCTGCCCTTAATTCATTTTCTAATTTTGTCTGCACTTGTTTTTCTTCATGTTTGCTTTGAGGTTCTTCCAAAGTCTCGGTTTGAGTGCCTATATCTGCTGTAGTCTGAGTGCAGCTGTCTGATCTAGTACTAGTAGCTTTTGCACCCTTTTCCATTCTGCTTTGGTAGATCTTGATATTCTGTTCGTTATCTATAATATTTTGTTGGGAGAGGTTTCCCAGAAGCTCAGAAGTGTTCTGAATAAGCTGTGACAGATGCATGGATAGATTCTGCATACTTGTCCAAGAAGAATGTTGCTGAAATAGGTCCCTGTTTGTTTCCTGCCTTCTTGCAGAAACATCTGTGTAACTTCTCTGGTGTCTTCTCTGCCTTTTATACCTTGCTGTAGCCACTGTTTGTGTTCCCTGCTCACAGGTAACCCCTGGTGATTTTTTGGAAGACCTTTCTGACTCAGATGGATATAACAATACAATTTCATCAACTTGCACTGAAGAGTTACCAGGTTCTGCAGAAGGATTCTTACGTTCAGCAGTGTCATTTTCTAGATTAGTTTCCAGTGTTTCAATGGACACATTGCTGTACTGCTTGTTACTGTCACTCGAGTATGTGGATTCAAAGCCTGGTCTGGCATTGTCCCATCCTTGAAGACCTTCAATACTGCTCAAAGTGCTTGATAAAACTTTCGCTGTAGCATATGAACTGAGATGAGAATGAAAAGGAGAATTCTGAGAATTCAATCCATTGTCCACACTAGAACATCTCGTAACTTTACGATTATCCAGGTTTAAAGGCATTTGATGGTAAGAGACATCGCTTGCACTTCCAAAAACATACTGCTTCCAGCCAATTTTGCATGATTCTTCTTGTTGCCATGGATGAATATATGGGTTGATATCACTTGAACTAAAATGCATTGCATCTTTACTGTCTTGCAAAAATAAATCTGTTCCTGTTTGGTACCCAGCTTCTTCACTACACTGAGCTACAGAACTGCTCTTTGAATGGATATTTTCTTTCGCACCCGCAGAACTGTGAGCTGTGGGCAGTAAAGATGATGGAGAATGTACAGTACTGTCTTTTAAGGACTGGCTGCTTTGGGTCCTTGCTGCATAATTTTGTAAATTTTTTGGATCACAGTTGGCAATCTTCTTCGTGTGTGTCATTCTTTGCTGAAATCTGGGTTTAGATTTAACCTGCAAAATGTTCTTTGATTCCTGTTTTGAAAATCTTTCAATTACATGAAGATCATCTTCAGTTGGTGATGGAGGCTCCACGCTCATATTTAAATCTTGTAGTGATCTAGATGCAGAATATAACAAGGAATCTGCCAGAGATGAAGCTTTGAAAGTATCATCTAAATCAGAGAACACAGCTAAGGCTGGAGCTGATAGTCTGTGACTTTGCAGATAAGGTCTCTGTTCAGTTTTGCAGTTCTTTGTATTATATGTTGTAGAACATGGCCTTCTGCTCCTGAATTGCACCAGTTGGGGTTCTTGGGAAGGCAAACCATGGTTTACCATGGTCGGTAAAAATTTTAAGGGAGTACTTTCATTATTCATTAGAGAAAATTTCAGTCTTTCTGATTTCATTATATCATCTCCTGCTATTGAAAAACTGTCAGCATGAACATCGGAACCTGCATTATTTTTGCAAAGTAAAATCTCTTTTCTGTCATCTGTATTTGTTCTGCCTGGGTTATTATCACCCGTGGGCACGTACTGACAATTGTCCTGCAGATCCGCAGGACTTTTTTCAAAACCTAAAACACTGTGATATGGTTGTCTGGGATCAGTACTTCTGCTGTTTGTGGGATATGCTGGACCAAATGAATCATAGGTGTGTTCAGGATCCACATTAACATCTCCTGGATACAGATGTTCCAACACCTCTGGGACTGTTAATTCATTTGTCGAATTTGAAGATACCTTAGTTTGCATTTCAAGATGTTCTTCATCTACTGTTTTCTCTTGCTTTTTCTTTACTGCAAAATGTTCAACCTCAGTACTTGAATGCAGTTCTTCCTCGTTTCTGTTAAGTATTTTTCTTATCTGTCCCTCTTTAACCAGAGCTGATCTTTCAGTATCCCAAAGAGGTACTGTTGACAATACCAGAGATTCACTATCATCTGGCACTTTCTCTGCATGTTCTGTGCAAGCTTTCTGTGCAGGAACTTTACTCCAGTGATGTTGATCAACTTCAGTATTATTGCCAAGTTGCTGACAGTTACTTCCATAGACAGGTTCCACATCTACAGCAGAATTCTCATATGAAGCAGAGTTTGTGTCTGATACTGGGTAATGCTTGTTTGCTTTTGCAAGAGAAAGTAAAATAATCCCTGAAGCATGTATTGGCTCATCAAATACCACAGACTTATCAGACTGGGTGTCTTGCACTTGTAAAACAGCAAGTGGAGAATGCTTTAATATACTTGCGTGGGATCTATCACACGTGCCATTTTCACCATGGTCTATATCTGAAATTGGAGAAGATTCTGAAAATGTTCTCATGGATGGGTGATTAATTTCTGCAAATGCTGGGGCAAAGCCTTCTTTCGCTGAGTGCAGATCAGCAGAACTAGACGATACCTGCTCAGTCAAAAAGGTGTCTTGAAGTGAGACTTCAAGCTGACTAACTGTTAGAGATTTTGAGTCATTGAGTGAACAAGTGTTGAAGACGCTTACATTTTTGGAGTTCTGAAGCAGTATATCAGTGGGGGTATTTTCTGCAAAGTAGGATGGAGCATGCTTTGATTCTTCACTGCCAGTCTTTCCTCGGCTTTGAAAAATGGGCACTCCTGATTCTGGTATAGTCACACTAGAAGTGTTACTGTACTGTTGTAAGTATTCAGGCATTTTATTTTCTTTAGCATCATTGCAGTTCTGAAAAGAATCTTGAATTATTTTCCCCACTTGATCAGTTCCCACAGTTTCTTCAGGGATTTTATTACCTTGAGCATCTGTAGCCTCTGTAACTGCAGAACTGTCATCGTTTTCATCTCCTTTTTGTGGAACATCAGGAAAAGTTATACATGCACTTAAAACAGTTGATTCACTTTCAAAGTATTTTGTTTCTTCAGAGAGAACAGCGTCATTTTTACATTTCTCTCCACTGCTGTCAGTCAAATCATTTGCAAATGTTCTTGGGCTATTCAGGAGACCAGCAGAATGTTCAGAAGTACAAGATTTCCTCTTGTAATTTGGAAACCTTACTGAAAGGGTCAAAATGTTCTCAGAAACAGTGATCTCGGGATAGTCTACACAGCAATCCTTGGAAGTCTCATGTCCCTGATAATGTCTTGGCTCACTGTGGCATGTCTTGATATCCGCAAGCCTTGCATTATCATTATTACTGCTTGTTATAGTATAATTTGTGTTTAAGCATTTCTCTTTGTTATCACATTGTGTCGAACTTCCTGAGTGAAGTTCTCTCTCAGCTGTACTAATGTTGTGAAATATATTTTGAGAAGAGATTTCCAGTAAAGCATGCTTTGTTTTTCCCCCCATATCTTCCCTTGCATCTTTCTCTGAAGGAGAAAGCAGGCTTGAATTATTGAAGAGCAGCTCATCAGGCATTATGGTATCTTTTTCCTCTTGATCTTTTCTTTCTGTGGAATTAAAGCAGTCTTTTGATATTTTGTTAATCATTAAATCTACACTGTGTTCTTCATGTGAGTTAACACCCTCAATTATATCTTCAGAAGAGTCTAATTCTTCTGAGGAAAATGAATTTCCTTCAGCCCCTTGCTTAAGCTCAACCATTTCAGGTTCATGATTGTCCACTCCACAGGGCATAGAAAAGCTGTTCGCGTTGACAGGTTGCCCAGATGCAGAATAATCATTTCTAAATACAAAGAGGTCTTCCTCATGTCTGTCCTTTGTGGTCGTGTTTTGCAGGAAAGCTTCATTTTTACTTTGAATTTTGTCAGAATGAGCTTTGTTGTTTCCCTCTTTTTTGACTGTTTTAACAGGTGTATCAACAGAGGCCTCGTTCTCCATTAATGTTTCATAGTACAGAAGAACAGCTTCAGTTCCAACATTGCCATTGGATGGTTTTGTGTGACCTTTCAGTGCAGTGGAAGCATCTTGAACAAGATGGGAATTATCACTTACTTCAAGACATAAAAGGTGACTTACAGATGGGCACGGGGAGTCTTTAACTGAACTTTCTTGGATGTTTTTGGTAGACTTCAGTGTTGCTGCTGAATTTTCCTGTTTGCTGTTATCTCCATTATTTGTAGAAAAGCTAGTAGATACCCATTGGCTTTCTTTTAAGATTTCACTTAGTCTGTTGTCCTCATGACAGCTGTCTTTGCTTTCAGGGAATAATTCATTCAGGTTTTGTAGAACTATCAGTTGTACCTCCTCCCTGTTTCCTAAAAACATCTGCTTCTCTGTTTTGTCCACTGCTTTCAAATGCGCTTTCTCATCAACAATTCCTGAGCCTGTAGCATCCAGTCCACAAATTTCAGGTCTTCTAACAACACTTATGTTCAAGTTTTCTGAAGTGCCATGCTCAGGATATTGTGTTGAACAACTCAGATACACATGGCTGTTCTCTTTAATATGAAGACTTTTAGATTCTTCTTCAAGTCTGTATTGGTCATTACAAATATTATCATCAACTGAATATTCATACACATCTATATCTTCCATAGATGTATTTCTTGTATCTGTAGCAGAGTCTTCTGAGCCACCATCTTCATTCATTTCAAGAGGACTGTGGTATTGTGAATCATCTACTGATAGTGTATTCTCTCCTAGTCCTGAAGGTGTAAGGTATCTTTCAGGGATCTTGAACTGATTTAAAATTTCCTCTTTGTCATCTCTGTTACAGTACATCTGATGCAGAGCTGGAAATTCTTCAGTAAATTGAACATTTTCATCTGTGTGTTTGTCTTCTTGATTCCTAATAACCATTTCCTCTGTGTTTGTCATGATGATTTGCTCTTCACTCTCAGTCACTTCACATACATGAATCTCGTTTTTCTGGTCAAAGTCTTCATGGGGCAAACTATGTGGCATGTAATGTTCAGTTAAATTGCTAGAATCTATTTGTTCTTCATTTTCGTTTTTTTCTAAAATATTTCCTTGCCTATCTGTGATTAGTTCCATAGTTTCTATATTCTCTACATTAAATACATTTTCTCTTGTTCTGTTCATCTGCAAAAGCCCTTCACAAGCATCAGGTAAGCCTTGAGCATTCTGAGTAAAATCTGTTCTGTGGGAATGCATAGCTGAAGGCGAGCTTTGGGGAGAAACAGAAAGCTCTGGTGAATAAATGCTGATTATTTCCTCACTTTCCTCTTTTTGAAAAAAGCTATCAGAGTGCATGAGTACTTTTGACTCCTGAGCGTGTTCTATACCGGTGCTAACTACCTGTAATTCATCTTTCTCTGCCTCTTCAAGTGTCAGGTGCAGATCTGTATAAAACTCGCACTGAACCTCAGAATGTATGATACGAGTGGGTTTCTTCAGATTCTGAGATAGATTGATGCCTTTAAAATTCTCACCACTCCTATCTGCAGTTACACTTTCAACTTCAGCTACTGAGCAGTCAGGTACACTTTCTATCTCTCTTGATTTCATTTTCACTCCATTTTCTTCTAGGTTGTTTGCACTATTGTTTAACTTTGTCATTTCTCCAGTGTTTGCTTTTGTATTCTGATAAGGAACCACATTTTCTTCTGGATCAGCTTCCGGGTTTCTTAAAAACTTGGATTCTTTACCCGTACATAGACTCTCCTCTTGAGAAACAGTACCTAGTGTATCTCTGTTGCATTCAAATACTCTTCTCAATTCTGAGTTAAAATGGTCTTCAACAAGCAAAACGTCCTCTGGGCAATCACATTCAAAAAAGGGTTCTTTCTCTTCTCTTGATTCAATTAAGAACTTTGTTTCTGTTTCCAAGGGAATGGTTGCATCAGATTCCACAGCACTGTCAGTCGCCTTACACATACTGTTCTTCTCCCCTGTTGATGTCGAAGAGCACGTTGTACAAAGACAGTTGGAATGTATGACAGAACAACATTTTGTGACCCTGGCTCCCACAGTGTGATTAGATGTAGCATCACAATCTCCTTTCACTATTGTAACATGCTCTAATAGCGTATCATAATTTTCAGTCTCAGACGCACTTTGAAAAAAATTAGCTTTTGGCAAAGCTTTGTAAAATATGCTTGAATTGGATTCTGGGAGCAAATCACCTGTGTTCTCACCAACAGCGGCAGGGAAGGACTCAGTGTCCTGCCCATTTACATTCACTGTGAGATAACTAACTTCATTTACCAGTAGGTTCTTATATTTGGATGAAAACTCTTTCTGATCTGTAACCCGAGAATTCACCGTACCGTGTTCTTTGCTTTCACCGCTTTCTTCTCTTATGTTGTCAGCGCACAATACAGAATTTTCTGAAACGTGCTGGGACAGGCAACTTACAGGACTGTCTGCTAGACAGCACCCATAGGAGTAATTTTTTGGAACAGGTTTGCTTTTAAATTCATAATGATTTAATGAAGACAAGTCTTCATCCCTTGGTTCATGTTCTTCTTTCTCTCTGAGTGAAGGCTCCTCTGATATAATCTCTGATAGGCTGTCAATGCTTGTTTCCATACAGATTTTCTCTTTTTCATACATCTCTATTGGTGTTGCACTGTAAGCAATAACTAAAGGGTTACATTTACGTGTTACCTTCTGTGAGGAAAAATCTGTGTTTACAGTTGCTGCTTCTGCAGGTATTTGTTCATAATCTGTATCTTGCAATGCTTCCAATTTACTCTCCCTAGACCTGAGGAGACCTTGTGCAACAGCTGATTCTGCCCCTTGTCCAGCCAATACTTGATGCTTCTGAGTGCTTCCCGGGGAGCACTTCTTATTTGTTAAGTCATTGAGAAAAAAACTTTCATCACAACACGTTGGTATTTCCCTTCTTGGAAAAAGCTGCACACAGTTTCCAAAATGTACTTGCTTTTCTGCTGAAGCCTGTGTTGAAACTACATTATAGGCAAGTTTTGTAGAAGATCCAGCAGCAGATGCACTGACAGGCGTACTGCCAGTGTTTGAATCTGTTATCCTTGGTTCTATCATTGAGTTATTGCAGTCATCATCTAGGTCATCTTTTTCAATAGTTCTGAGGAAATTGCCTTCTAAGTCTGCTTCCACACAGCTGTTTCTCTTCTCCAAAACGTACACAGGCAACACAGAAACAAAAGGTGGCTTTTCCAGCTTGAGATCTTTCAACAGTTCTGGATGAGTTGTAGGGAAAGAATCCTCCTCTTTTCTGGCTATTGGCGACAAGCTGTCTGCAGTAGAGAAGCTTTCCAAACAGCTGAACGCTTGTGTGCATTCAGTGGTAGACCTGTAAGTGGATAATTCATTTATTTGTTCTTGTTCAGGATGATTTGCCATTGAATGTTCATAATAGTCAGGTTTTACTGAAATATGAGCAAAAGAAGAGCTTGGTCCTATTGAACTTACAAATGTGGATGTTATGTCTTGAGATTCCAAGGAAGAATTTTCATCTGCGTTTATACATTCCTCACTCTCAAAGCCTCTGCTTGCAGCTGTTGTTTCAGGTAAAGGTACTTCTGATGTGTCAGAGGAGAAACTTGTGTCTATTTCTTTTATACTATGTGATAAATGAGTAATGCTGTGTATCTGCTTAGAGCCAGAAACAAAAGAAACTTCAGCAGCTGACTGTTTTAGATCATCTTTCTTCAGCCAACCTTTTGGTTTGCTCAAAGAATAGAAATGAGCATCTTGAAATTCTAGATGCTCATGGGAAGAAGGCGCTGTTATTCTGGGGCTGCTGATTTCAACCTTTGAGTCACAGGATGACCAAGCATCAGTTGTAAGCATAGGATGTCCACTTGCATAATAAAGTCTTCTATCAAGCGACCTTTCTTGCTCTGCAAAAGAGACCTTTGCATCCTTCAGAAACTGCTTGCTAGCATTATTGAAAGCAGGCTGTTGCTTAGTGTCCAAATAGAAGGAACTACTCAGCTTCAGATTGTAATTTGTTACTTCTGTATCTCTGCTGCAGATCTTGGACTCATGGCCTTCTTCAGTCTGTACAGTTGGTGGTCTTGGAGTTTGTAACTTCCAAAAAATCTCTGCTGGGACTTCATCAGATGAATCAGATTTGGATTCTTCTACTGGATCTTCTGTTGGCACCTCTTCTCCATCACCCAAGCTGTCCAGAGAAAAGCTTCTTTCAGCCTCTCCCAGTCTCCTGTGTGATGCATACGATGTCACTAAAGATGAAACACGGTGTTCAGATCTGCTTTTGTAAAGCTTAGCTGGCTGGTGGCGGGCCTTTAATTTCTGAAATTGGCTTTTATTTTGCTTTTTGGCTTTATTTTCCTTTTCTACCAGAGAGTCTTGTGACATTTGACTGTCATCACTCTCAGAATCTTCTGGGTTGGCAAGACATTTATTTCTGTGGAAATCATCTTGCTTCAGCTTCTCTGTGAAAGCTTTTGCATAAGCGCAGGAGAGTGAATCTACAGAGTAAGTACTGTCAGTATCAGAAATCTCATTTTCCTCATCTTCTTGCCAGTTCCCGAGCACGTCTGTGGCTGTTTTAGACATTCCAGCACTTAACAGCTCAGCACTATGCCATTTTTTTTCAACATAAGAGAGTGGTGCCTGTGTGTTCATCTTAGTGAGATTTCCAACTGATGTTGCCACCATCAGAAATTCTTGATGTTCCACTGATGAGTTCTCATTACTTTGTAAGTCTGAGGGTGGCACTCTCTCCAAATTCTTAGCTGCTTGGTTTGGATGTGCAGATGGTAGGTTTCCATACACTGCTTTCTTGATTTTGTTAACAAAATTTTCTGGGGAAGGACTATGGCCTTTTGTATTGATATCCATTCTCGTCTTTTTATTGGACACCTGAGCTCTGTTTTGTTCTAGACAGCTATTTGCAGGCTGACTTAAATCTCCTAGCACCTTTGTTTTTGTCATTCTTGTCCCTGTAATAAAGGTTTCAGGCTCATTTTTCTCCTTACAACGATCAGGAGAGGAGCCTTTAGAGGTCTGTTTTTGACATCCAGCCTCCCCTGGGCCATCATTCAGCTTATCCATTTTTTGATCATTTTTATTGATATGAGCCATGACAGCTGAGTGATTACAGTCCCTTTCTGCCCCTTTTTTATTTCCAAATGAAGATACTTTTTCTTTCTCAGATAGCTGCATCTGAACTAAAAAGGAGATACCTTTTTCATCATTAAAGTCATCACTCCTGGAAAAGTCTTTAAATTTTCTGTAACAGTATTCCACGGATGAAAACTTCCCTGGTGTATTGCCTTCGGAGCATTGATCAGTATTTGGCGAGGTAGATAACTTTGAGATTGTTTCCCCATTCAACAAACGGCTGTGGAAATAAAGAAGAAATAAAGCCCAATGCTTGCTTAAATAACATGCTTCATGTTTCCATATTAGTAACATCTTGCAGTTAAAAGTAATGACATGTGAAACAACCACCTTAACAAGAAATTAATACCTTGATGCTAAGTTGTACAGCTTGATATTTAATCTTCACAGTTTCAAGTAGCTGCAAGTTTTAGTTAAGAATAGAAGATGGTTCTAAGTCGCAGGAATTCACTTTGCGGACTTAAGCCACTTCCTGCCTCGGGAGCCATGCTGTGATAGACATGCTATTGCCCTGACATTTTAGTACTGTGTAGTGCTGTATTTGGCTTGAGAAGGTTAATCAACTTCAAAGTCCAAGGCAGAATCACACTAGTAAAAGTATTCTGAAGGAATAATTTGATCCTAATCACAATAATAATGCAGAAACAAATATTTACCAGCAACACAAAGGCGGCAAGAACAAAGTTGAGCAAGCTCTGGTAAGCAATCACAATGAGGTAAAACGTGCAGAAAGGATTGATGGAGGAAAGAAATAAACAGCAAGACCACCTCAGAGACCTAAGTAGGGAATGCACTGCATAAATCCAAGGAAAGCAGCAAACAGCTCCAGTGTGATGTACAATACACTACGTGATACCGCAAGTTTTAAGGATTGTTTCAGTAAGCTAAAAGGCATTCTGGATTGCAGGTAGCCATTGAAAATACCATGAATTTAAATAATATTTGACATTCAGAGGAATTGGTAGATGTTGACTCACCTGGGTACCTGGGGCAGATGGATGTTACAGAATGAATGCTGACTGTGCAGTGAGTAACTCGAACCCAATGACCTCCTCCTATTCTGTAACTGGTGATCCACGGAGGCCTGTCCTGCAATGTTTTCATTTGGGATGTGGGATTGTTTCACACAAACTTCACTGAGCCAGCAGTTAGCTTCCAGCTGCTCTAGGTTTTGCTTAGCTTCCAATAACTTCTGCTTCTTGACTATCCTTTCCAGCTGGAATTTGACCTTTTTACGTCTTATGTTTCTTTCTGCCTTTTTTAAGGAGCACCTTCGCAGGAGCTCCAGCTGCACCAGTCTCTTCTTGTTCTGCTGTAGCAGTGAAGGTGAGATCTCCAGACCAAGGCTACTCTGTACCTCAGCCTCTGCGTACAACGTAGATTCTGTTTGCACTGCAAATTCTCTCTGCTGTTGCTGCAGGGCAGCTAGTCGGTTACTCTCATTTATAAGCCACTGTTGGTCTGCAAACAATGATTGAAAGAAAGTAAAAAGCATAGAAATAACATTGTTCATTAATTTAATTAGCCGAGAATCCACTGAAGAACAGAATTCCTATGCAGATAGAGCAAATCTATCTATCCATCTCTATGTTAATGAAGAAAATAAAATTTAATGCACATGCTAATGAGCCTTTGGTAAATAAATTCCTACTGTTTAGTGAAGAAAATGCAATATTAAAATGTAACTGACTCCTCATCAAAGAGTTTGAGTGTTTTACAGCTGCTGTAAGACAAACACTGCTTTATACACATTTTTGCTCATGTCCTTTCCTTTAAAATTAACTTGAATGTACCAAAAAAAATAATCCACCTGCCAACTATTTCCTCTCGTTTCTCTGTACATGCTGAAAATGAAGGAAATTAAATGCTGAGGGACTTTGTGTTCAGCACATAAGAAACTGGTGGCATGTTCAGTAAACTTGAAAGCTCAATCTCCCAGCACGACAGTCAGGATGTGCATCATATCTGGGGCCTGCTGCCAGCCCTCAGGCTCATGGATAGGCACGCAGCCTACTAAGTGGGTTGAAGAAAAGGCTACTAGGAAGCTTCCAAGTGGCTGCTTGCTGGGCAGTTCTGCTAGCCTCTCTACCCACCAGATGGAAATTTCTCAAGCAACACAAACATTGTGTGGTATCTGGGCTGAGGTGAAGCAACAACCACAAAATTTTCTACCTGTTGTGATTATGGCTGCTCCAGAGCATTTAATAAATGCCTGGTGGGAACCCATGTACCATGAATACGAGCAGGTTAGCATGCAACGTGTTTGAAATTATTCAAAAACATTCATAGCAAGGATACAAGTGAAATCAACACAACCATGAGTTGTCAGGATGAACACATACAAACTCATATCACCCATCAATGCATATTTTTTCATAAAATCAGGAGTCTACTCCCAAAGAGAATTGGATTCTCCCTTTTTGTGAACATTCCCCAAATTTCACAAATGCTTAATATTCTTTTCTAAGAAACCAATTGATTAGCCTTATTTAATAAGAGTATATTACATCTGTTTACATTTTTAATCTTCTCTAAATCTTTGGAGAATCTGATCTTTGCAGTCAGTAGAGAAGCAGTAGAGAAGAATAGGATCTGCTCTGTTAAAAACTTTGTTCACATTTATACTGATATGAAAATATATATATTCAGCTGCACAGAGGAACAAACATATCATTAGCTGAAAAAGCAATATAGAAAACCACACTCAAAGTTCCCTCATACATGAGCATTTCTCAAAGGACAGATACTTTTCAAAGCACTTTAATCTTCCTAGCAACACTATTTTGGCTGGGCTTAGCTTCAATGTGCTTAGTTGCAGCCCCTCACTGAGGAGCCACCGTTAGTCAGTTATTCGTGGAGTTAGGAAATCAGAGTTTGACATGGTCACGAGCCCTGTGTATGACAGCTGAACTACGTGAAAGGATTTGGGGGCTGTGGATGCTTCCCTAATAGAAGAAAAATAACCATCTTTAGCGGATAAGCATTGCCAGCATCAGTTGTGTGGTAACTACAAATCTCATTAAACATTCTCCATTAGTGATTCCCACCTGAGGGAGTCTCCAGTTTACATCCTCAGCTAGACACACAGAAGTAGTGATACTTTATAGATAAGTATGTTTACCCTATGGATAAAATGAAAGCATTTTAGTCATAATCTGTTATTACTTCTTAGTAACATCTTAACCTTCACATACAGAAGAGTTTCCTCAACTCTTTATTCCCAGATCTGCCCTCTTCAGCATGTTTCTAGGAAGCAGAATATTTGGCAGAGGAGTGTGCCCCTGTAATAGACCTGAAAGTTCTAAGACACTAATTAATGTCTACTCACAAACTTGCCTCTGTCAGAAGCTGAGAAAAAGAGGGTGCAAATAAGGCAAAAGAACTCTGGTGGGCTGCCAAACAAAGAATTATATTTGGCTGCAAAAACTGCTTGTCTGGCTAAGCTTAATATGAGCACAGCTAAACAGTGGAACTAGACAGGAGCAGAGAACTTGTCCTGTTTCAAGAAATACGTTTTGGAGAAGCTCTGCACTGCCTACACACTTGGTCTCCTTCTGATACTCCCCATCTCCACAATTTTCCTTTTAATTTCTTCCTTGTATTTGGCATAATTTAAAGATGGTAAACTGCCTAAGTTTGGCTCTGGGAAGCCTCTAAACATTCAGAAATTATTCTAGGAACCAGTAGCAGGCTTTATGAAATGGAAATGGTGCCTTTGCAATAGACGTACTCTTCTTATCAAGAAACTTGGATCAGACCATTCAATAGAAGACAACAGGAAGAACACTCTATCTACCCTATTTCAATGCTCAAGAGCTTCTTGAGATTTAAAATGTTTCCAAATCTCCCTACAAACTCTGTTCAGCCCCACCAGGACAAGTCTTGCTAACTATGTCCTCGTGCAAAGCAGCATCACTCAGGGCCAGAAGTCACTGATGCTGAGAAACACCTCTCCAAATATGCTATGGCTCCACCTTTTGCCATAGCTATTTACTACTCAGAATCTGATATCTGATCTAGTCTCTAGCTTGTATAACACTATAAGAACTTGCTAGAAATAACTCCTATTTGAACCAAAGCATGCCTTTTTTTTTTTTTTAAATACAGTTTTGTTAAAAAAAAAATAAAATCAGCAATGGAGAATGCAGTACCACGTATCAATCATCTTTAGGGTAAATAAAACTTGCATCTTACTTTTAATCTTAATTTGTCTCACTTCTGTTTCTACCACAGAATTTCTTCCTACATTTTTATTTCATACTACCAATGCCTTGTTCCAACTTATAGACTTGGATGAAATCACCTCCAGCTTTACTGTGATCAAGGCAAACAGACTGAGCTCTCGGGATCATTTATTATACTATGCTATCCCATATAGGTTTGTTAGAGTCATCATAATATACTTCTAAACTTGTATGTCCTCTGCAATTGTGAACATCACAACTATTCTCAACATTGCAAACAGTAGTCATGCCAGTGATTGAACAAGAATCATCTTAGTACCTTTTCTAATCCCAGTCAGGCTGTTTATGTACCTAAGAATTAGTTTCTCTTCTGTCAGATCTCCCATAAACATGTATCGCAACACATCTTCATAGGTTAATCAGGTCTTTCCCTAGCTGACAGTAACTAATGAGAGGCCACAGAACAAAGTGAAAGACACAGGAAAATGAGAAAACTGAGAAAAAGAGGCTGTCAGAGGTTTGCAGAGTGAATTAGGCTCCCATTGAGATGAACAAAAAAACCCAGTATAAACAAAATCTGAATTCAAAGTGATTCTTGAAAGCTAGAGAGCTACCTTTTCACTGAACTTTTGAAAGATCACTTATCTTCTGATGTTTTGGGATTTGAAAATGTTTCAAGCTTTTCATGGTATAATTAGCATAGAGCTGAGGTTTGTGTCAAACCAACATCATCGATACTTTACCTAGGAACGAATTTTTTACTCAGAGGGTGGTGAGGCACTACAACAAGTTGTCCAGACAGCTGTGGGCGCCCCATCCTTGAGGCATTCTAGGCCAGGCTGAATGGGGCCCTAGCAGCCTGATATAGTTGGTGGATGGCAACTCTGTCCATGGCAGTGGGGTTGAAATGAGGTGATGTTTAAGGTCCCTGTCAATCCAAGGCATTCTATGAAGCACAGAAATAATGATAGAAAAGTAGAAAATACAACAGCAGATTCTGTCTATATTGCTGCAAGGGAGAACTGTACTGCAGATATAATCAGAGCAAAACTAGAGAAGCAGGATGGGGAGCAAGTGGAGAGATGAGAGGCTTGGTGCCACAGGAGGAGCAGTGAGCCTATCCCAGTCAAGACCTGCAGAACTAATTAAACAGTGCTGCTGGTGCTCTGCAAAGTTAATCAGTGCTTGATAATTCTCAAAGGAGTTCTCAAAGGAGAGATAATCATAGGAGAAAATTAGTACTGTGCTGTAAAAAACAATAGTAACAACAACAACAAAATTACAACAACAACAACAAAAACTTCCACCACAATACAAAGCCTAACTAGGACAAAAACACGAAGAGGATGAAAGAATGCAATTACGGAAGAAACCTGAGAGAGGGGCAGGTACTTACTTTCTAGGATCTGCTGGTTGATGAGGGCTTGGTCATTTTCCAGTTCTCTCTCTGCTTTGACCTGTCCTTTGAGGATCTGCTGCTTTAAATTCTCAACATAGAGCTGCTGCTGTTGGATTTGTTTTCTGTGGAAAGCTTCCTGCTCTTTCAGTTTCTTCTTGTACTCTTCATGCACAGCATCTATGTCTCTGCAGTTCAAAATGTTGGCAATTAATTTAAACAAGAAAAAAATACCAAGCATTTGTAAATGCAACACGTCATCTTACTTATCTTAAAGAAAGAAAACTTACTAAAGAAAGACAATGTTCTGGATATTGCTCTGTTCATTAAGGGTGCATTACACAAAGAACTCATGATGGTAGAGAGTATATGCACATCACAGCAGGCCACAGTCCTGGAACTGTCAGAAATGCCAGCTTTCACCATGAAAATTGTTATAGTGAAACTGAAAATCCCATCACCAGAAAGAAAACAATAGAAATAATTTGAAAAACACGTCACTTGTCATTTTGCTTCCAAAGGGGAAGCGGGGGATGGGAAAGTGGTGTTTATGTTTTATAGGTTAATGATCACAATATAGGATGTTTTTCACCCAAGTACTTAAAAAAAATAAACAGAAATAGAAATGAAAAGGTTTTTTTTTTTTTTTTCCTTACAGATAAAAAATCTTAAATCTGGAAAGAAATATGGGAATTGCTGAGATTACATCAAAGGTCTCCAGCAGCACCAAGGAAAGAATTCAGTCACCCAACTCTCTCTCGTATGCAACTACTGCAGGTTGCTCTGTCTACATCTGGAGTAGAACGGTGATCAGAAAAGTTACTATCCTGTAAACAACTCCATGCAGTCCCTCCAAGCAGCCTGTTTCCTGACTGAGCACCAAATGTCACGTTGTTTGTAAAATCATTATCAATCCAAGGCCAACGAGCCTCTGACCTTTGCTACATCAGGATTTATTTGTAATCTCTATCTACAACCACAGGCATGTGTTTGAAGCAGCTATTTCTATAGCAACAACTTTATGTACCAGATTAGCAGACAAAGCAGATGTAGCAATTAAGCAGCTAACATCCTCACATCTGATGGAGTCCCTCTAGATTGAACATTCATTTTCAC